TTTATTTTTGAGAGACAGAGCATAAGCAGGGGAGGGGCAGACAGAGAGGGAGACACAGAATCCGAAGAAGGCTCCAGGCTGGGAGCTGTCAGCCCGACACAGGGTTCGAACACACAAACTGCGAGATCATGACCTGAACTGAAGTTGGACACTTAACTGACTGAGCCCCCCAGGCACCTGTGTCTGCATAATATTTTTAATACTTGATATAAATGGCATGGCTCCGGGGTGCCTGGGGGGCTCAGTCAGTTAAGCATCCGACTCTTGATTTCAGCTCAGCTCATGATCTCATGGCTCATGAGCTCGAGCCCCATGTCAGGTGGGCTCTTTGCTGTCAGTGCAGAGCCTGCCTGGGATTCTCTCTCCCTCTCTCTGTCCCTCCCCCACTCATGCTTGCTCTCTCTCTCCCTCTCTCTCTCAATAAACAAACCAAAATAAATAAGTAAGTAAATAAATAAAAGGCATAGCTTATATTTGCTTCTTGACAGTTTCTCTGAGCCCCACTGGATTAAACCTAATTTTAATGTTTACTGGAATAAATATTCTCTTACCTTAATGTAGCGATCCTGATTTTCATCAACATACTTAAACAGGGTAGTGAGGGCCGACATCTTTCAACCAAATCGTGGACCTTACAGGTTCCTGGAAGGAAACACAACCTGTCCGTCCTGCCTGTAGATGGGTCTGACTGAGCAGTGGGCCAGGACAGCACTTGTCGAAGAGGCTATAAAGTTCTGCTCCACCCTCGCAGCCATCACGAGGCTTCCAGGAAGTGATTACAGTGCACACACAAGCAGTGAGAGGCTCAGGGTGATCTCCCAATTCCTTTCTCAGAAGGAACGTGTGCACAAAATTGTGGGCCAAAAAAGATAATTAACTGAAGGAAGGGCCTGAGTTGAAGACAATCTGATGAAAATTAAAAGTAGGCAGCTCCCGGTAACACTGATTTATCAGCACTTAAGATTTTTCTGAAGCACGCACTGAACTTCCCACTTACTACCTACCACCACAGACAAAATAATCACTCCAAAGACTGCAGCAAAAGTGTCACATCCTGTCTGTTACTGTCACAAAGCCACAACACAACAATCAAAACCCAAGGCAAAGAAAGTCCGATTTAAAAAGTTGATAATCTGAGCCCAGAAATGGTCAAAGGCAACATGTGAAACCTCCACACAGGCCTGATTAAGAAACTTCCATGGAACTCAGCCCCCCTCCAGAGTGCATTTTCCAACACCTCATGTGTGAGACCCAACACATCCTGCTCTGCCACGCAAACACATACAGGGGAAAGGAACTCATTTGACCAGCCATCTAAAGATGGGAATGAGGGGCGCCTGGGTGGCGCAGTCGGTTAAGCGTCCGACTTCAGCCAGGTCACGCTCAAGGGTCCGCGAGTTTCCGGTAGCCCGCTCAGGCTCTGGGCTGATGGCTCTGAGCCTGGAGCCTGTTTCAAATTCTGTGTCTCCTTCTCTCTCTGCCCCTCCCCCGTTCATGCTCTGTCTCTCTCTGTCCCAAAAAAAAAAAAAAAATAAAAAAAAAACGTTGAAAAAAAAAAGATGGGAATGAGCAGGAAACAAAAGGATTCTGGTTTGGGGACTTTCAAAATCGGTTCCCTCTCCTTCCCTCAACTGACATTTCAAATTCCATCAAGTGGCAAGACTGGCCGGAAGCATCACAAGTCACACCAAATATCTCAGAAATGCAGCAGGAGTGACGAGGTCCTGTCACATCCAGGTAGTTCTAAACGCCTGTGTACTGACACACTGCAATCGAAGAGTAGTTTTTTCTTGGTAGAGGATTCCAAAGTGATTGCTAAACACAGCAGTGACTCTATACCGCGACATGAGGCCTGGCAGCTGCTTAGCAAACAGAAAGATGCCCCAGCTGTGCTGTATGATTTCTGTGATTTCAGAACGGCCAGCTCCAGCTACGTAGTTCTCAGCGCATAAAATATTTACACACCACCCAGCCACCTAAGACTGCTGCCCCTGAGGCTTTGATCTGAAACACAAGTCAGTCCACAAACGCTGGAGAGGCATTTCATGAGCATAAATAAGTCAAATTTCCATCTATATGTCACCAATCATGTAAACTGGGAAGCTATCTAGGACCATATGCTACACTGGGTGCTTTTCATTTGGGTTCCTGGTTATGAAATACCATAAACCCCAAGCTCACTGTGGGATCTTCTCACTAATATTCTTTGCGGTCAAAATGAACAACCACCTTCCAGCTAAGGCAGAAATGTATCTGCACTTTTACCCAAGACAGAACAGAGATCAGATTGTTCACCTCTCCATGCCAAGTCACAAGGCTGCCTGAAAAGCAAATGCTTCTCTGAATTCCTAATCTGGTCAAAGGAGGTCAGGCCAGGGCCATTTTCTCGCTCCCGCTCACAGTTCTAGGAGTTCCTGTCCCAACCCGCCCCTCTTCCCCATCCAGAACGGAAACCATTAAAGATGGGACCCCTTTGACATGCCCTGCGGAACCCCACTTGTGAAGGTAAAAGCGCTGTGTGGGAGTGAACAAGAGAAAATATTATGCTTTCAAAATAAATGCCAGGATCTCTAACTTTCCCGGGGGTGCCACCACTTAAATAATGAAGCTAGTGGCAGCTGGAACCACCCGGCAACACCTACATGTGTCCCAGTCCTTGTCTCTCATGTTCTCCAGCTCGTGACACCGGGTCAGCACGCGGATGACCGTCCGGGACCCCACCCATGCCGCGGGGGGCCGCCCGAGGACAGGACCACCCCCAGTTTGCACATGGGGAAATTGAAGCCGAGAGCAAGACTGAGCCGACCGCCTCACACCCGCCTGAAAGTCTGACCCTAAGGACCGCTGACCCCGGGCCCCGGCCGGCCAGCAACATCGACCTAAAGGCTCCAGGGGAGAAAGAGAGCCTTGAGTTTTTTGGGGGCCTCGTCAGGAGGAAGTGGTTGGGCGGTCTTCTGCGCGTCTTGCCCACCGCCCGCAGCGCGCCGGGTCCCCGCGAGCGCCTTCTTTTAACCGCGGTACCCTCTCTCTCCGTCCCCACTGGCCAAGCGCACCAGGCGGTGGGCCAGGCCTCTCCAAGCCGGGGCTCCCGGGCACCACTCCCCCGGGGACCTCGGTCCCTGCTCCCACACGCCGAGGCGCGACCCATCCGCCCCCTCCGAGGACCGCCCGGCCCGGCCCGGCCCGGCCCGTCCAGACCGCTTACCCCCTCAGCTGCAGCTGCAGCAGCGCCGGTTCCGTACCACGTGCCCAGTCACGCCCCCGGCGCGGGACCGCCTCCCACCGCCCCGCCGCCCCGCCCACCAATCACGCGCCTCTTCCGGAGTGCCGGCATCGCCCCGCCCCTCCACCGTCCCTCCCACCAACCTCCGAGCTCGTAGGGGAGCTGGCGTCGCCCCGCCCCACGCCTCTCCACCCACCAATCACCGGGCTTGTTGGAGAACCGGCTTCGCCCCGCCCCTGCCCGCCTCCCAACTTGGGAGACCTGCGGGGAATTCCTGAGCTGTGACCCTGAGGGCTGCGGCCGTGCGGCCCACTCCCTGCCTGCTCCTTGCTTGGTCCCGCTGGGCTGGGGTCCGGTTCGTGGATGGTGAGGTTCTGAGGCCCCGGGAGCGGCGTACACCCCACGCTCAGGCTCGGGGCGGCGCGCCTGTGCCGGGTCACACGCGGTGCCGTTTGATGCCTCCGGGCCCTGGGTCCGCAGGGCCCCAGCGGCCCTGTTTCTGGGGGAGGGGGTGTATCAGTGTTTAAATCCAGTGATCTCGGGACTGTGGACGCAGGAGGACCCACCCTTTTTCTGTGCTTACCTTTGAAATACCGAGACCCTAGGTGGTGGTGATCGTCTCCGTGAGAGCGGTCCCACAAGAACTTGGCAAAGAATCTACCCTCCCACATTTTGTCTGCTGTTTATAAAGTTTATTTATTCTGGGAGAGAGAGCAAGCAGGGCAGAGGGAGAGGGAGAGAGAATCCCAAGCAGAGCCCAACCCGGGGCCTCGGCCCACTAACTACTTAGATCAAGACCTCAGCAGAAAGCAAGAGTTGGCTGCTGAACCCACTGAGCCACCCAGGTGCCCTTGTTTTTAATAGCAAGTGTAGTAGTTGCAAAAGATGTAAATACTTAAAAAAAAAAAAAATGACCTCCCCCTTAAATTTTCCATCTATATCCCCTCAGAGTTGTCAAATTGTAACTTCTTGTCGATTAAAGTTCGAAAAATGAGGGAAAATTAAATACTGAGAAGTCCTGATTCCACTTCCTCCCCCAGTCCAGTCATACTGTACAAACAGCTTTTAAGAGGAAATTTTTGACATATTCGGTAGTCTATTATTTATTTTTAACTATTTCTTTTTTCTTGAATCTTTGTGTTTTTTAAAAACATTTTTAATTGAAGTAGAGTCTTGACATATAACGGATTTGTTTCAGGTGTACCAGTGATTCAACAGTTATATCATTACGAAATGCTCAGTGTGTAATTACCATCTGTCATCATACAAAGTTATTACAGTATTATTGACTTAGCTCTAGGTTACATCTCTATGACTCATTTTGTTTATAGGTCTGTGCCTCTTGATCCCCTTTACCTAATTTGTGCTCCCACAACCGCTACTCTGGTGTCTATATTTATTAGTCTGTTACTCTTTTGCTGTTGTTGTTGGCTCATTTGTCCACGTATAGGTGAAATTATAAGGTTTTTGTCTTTGCATAATACTCTATAGATCCATCCAGTTTGTTGTGAATGTCAAGATTTTATTTTTTTTTTTTTTTATGGCTGGGGAATATCCCATTGTGTATATATCTCACATTTTTTTCCATTCATCTATCAATGGACCCTTAAATTGTCTCCATATCTTGGCTATTGTAGATAATGCTCCGATAAACAAAGGGGTGCATATATATCTTCGAGTTAGTGTTTTTGTTTTCTTTGGGTAAATACCCAGAAGTGCAATTACTGGATTGTATGGCATGTCTGTTTTTCATTTTTTGAGGAACCTCCATACTGTTTTCCAATTTGTACCAATTTACCAATGTCACCAATTTTTTAACCAATTTTTTTTTTTTTTTTTTTTTTTACCAATGTTACACCACTTTATATTCCCACCGATAGTGCATGCTGGGTTCCTTGTCCTCTGAATCCTTACCAACACTTATTATTTCTTATATTTTTTATATTAACCATCAAACTAACATTTTTACATTTGATAGTCTTTCATTGATGATCCTATTACACTTCTCTGCAAGAGAATATGTATAGACATTTAAATTAATATTTACTTTTCTATAGCTAGAAATCTCTAAGTGTTAAAGTTTTCTTCTGGATTAAATTCTCATTACAATCATTATTCATATATGACTAATCGAAACCATGGAAATGTATTACAGTTCACCCTTGAACAATACAGGTGTTAGGGGTACTGATGCCCCCTGCAGTCAAAAACCCATTTAAAAGTTTTGACTCCCCAAATACTTAATTACTAATAGCCTACTGTTGACCGGATGCCTTACTGATAACATAAACAGTTGGTTAACATTTTGTATGTTATTTGTATTATATACTCTATATTCTGTAAAGTATATATATTCTATAAAGTAATCAAGAAGAAAGAAAATGTAAGCAAATTATAAGGAAGAGAAAAAAATATACTTACAGAACTGTACTGTATTTATGTGAAAAAGTCCACATATGAGTGGCCCCATGTAGTTCAAACCCATGTTTTTCAAGGGTCAGCTGTATACATTTGACAAAGAATTTTTAGATATTAAAAGTAATTTATTAGAAATGTATCATTTAAGCATATCTATTTGGCTTTTAAAAAATTAGTTCAGGTGTCTATAAGTGAGATTATTGCTTGAATGAGACAGGGTTCAGTGAAAAATACAACAAAAAGGGGACTTAGAGTAGAATACATAAACACTAACATTAAGTTCATAAAGTTTTTATAGGTATGTGGTCATGATAAATAAAAGAAAAAAGAAGCTATTGGTAAATGAGAGCCAGGAAGAGGTTTGAGTCCAAGTAAAAAGTGAACATTATTTATGTACCTACTAATCATTTGGCAAAGTTCATTGATGAAAATGTTTCTCTTACAAATCTGAATAAAATTCAGGAAAATACAGAATTTACTCTTGATATGGAATTCTTTTACTTGGAAATATAATGTTAATTGTCAGAAGGTGGACCTTCTATTTTCTTCCCCTTGAAATAATACAAATTATGTAGCCAACAGGCATCCTTGATGAAGGAGGCATTCTCCAATAATAATATATGGTGGTATTCCAAATTGCCCCTTTGTTTGGGACATTTGAGGCTTTTTGAGTTACATGTACAGCACTTAGGGACACCTGCGTGGCCCAGTCGGTTAAGCATCGACTTCAGCTCAGGTCATGATCTCACAGCTTGTGAGTTCAAGCCCTGTGTCGGGCTCTGTGCTGGCAGCTCCGAGCCTGGAGCCTGCTTCTAATTTTGTGTCTTCCTCTCTCTCTGCCCCTCCCCTGCTCAGGGTCTTTCTCTCTCTTTCTTTCTCTCAAATATAAATAAACATTAACAAAATTTAAAAAATTAAACGTACAGCACTTAGAATGATGCCTGGCACTGAATGTCTTGGGGTGTTCGGGCTGCTACAACTACCATAGACTAGGTGGCTTATAAATGACAGAGATTTATTTCTCACAGCTGGGGAGGCTGGAAGTCCAAGACCACGGTGCTGTCAGATTTGGGGACTGGTTGAGAGCCTGCTTCCTGGTTCTGTACAGAGAGCTGTCTTCTCGCCATGTCCTCACACGGTAGCAGGGGTAAGGCAGCCTCGTGGGCTTCTTTTACGATGGCACAAATCCCGTTCATGACCTAATCACCCTGGTTATAGGTCTCAATATAGGAGCTCTGGGAGGACACATTCAGTCTACAGCACTGTCTTAAAAGGGGCGCGGAAAGACGGGAAGCAGGACAGCAGGCAGCTCACTGCCGGAAAGTCCCGTCCTATCCGCCCTAAGAGAGAGGACATGTAGAATTTGAGCAGCTGGGGATTGGTGCCCTCAAAACTCTGAGGCCTCCTTGAAAAGTCCTCCTGTGACCCCAGGTGTCTCAGTCTGGGGACCACTACCTGGCTCGCTGTTAAGTAAATGAGCTGGTATTTGAACCCAGGGTGTGCACAGCTCGGAATGCCCAGCAGGTGGCCCTGCAATCCATTTGTTTTCCGGTGAAGGATGCTTTGCAGATTGCTTTGTAGCAGGGAATCTGATTTTAGCTCAAGGATCTAAGCAAATAAATTTTCTCTTCTTCTCTGCTGGATTTTTGGGGGAACAGGGACACCGTGAAACAAAAACAAGGAAAGAGGTATGTGGACGGTTGACCAGAGGTGGGGTACTTCCGAAAGATAAATGATGTGCCTTATCTGAGAATTTAGGGAATACGAGATTTGGAAAGTTACTATTGATTACAGACCCACTCATAAAAGCTTTAGATGCTACTTTCAACTACTACAGGCTCCAGTTCCCGGCACGAGTCACGGCCTATTCTCCAGAATAGTTCTCCTCACTCGATTCTGTGGAACCAAGCTTAACTAAACACACAGCCGTGGGAGCACCCATCACCCCGGAAAACGGAGATTTTCCTGGGCACAGAGGCCACTTGGGAGAAGGTAACTACATTAAGAGAGAACCTGCCATGCAGGACGGCATAAGGGAGAAAGTAGAATCCTAGGGGACCAGCAGTGAGCAGCTACAAATGACCCACACGGCTTCCCACTGCCTTAGCCCTAAGCAGCTGGTAAAGTCTAACCTCCCCCAGAACTGGCCTCCGAGAGTCTCTCTCCCGCCCTGCTTTCATTCCCCTGGCCTCAGCCAGTCTGTCTTTCCAGCCCTAAATGCTTGTATTCCCTGCAAGACACGTTCAGGATTAGTATGTCTGTCATGTACCACACCCCATTGTTTGTGACAAGAACCAGGGAGCCGGGGAGACGGAAAGGCTGAGAGCGAAGTGTTCGGTTTCTCTCATAATTCGGCTTCTGTCTCGCTGTCTCTGATCCCAGGGGGGCATACAGTTAGTAGGGACTGGGACTCTAAGTAACCCCTGCCTGGGGTTAACAGTTCTGTAGTTCTGGCTTTTTGTCTTTTGCTGTTGTGTCTGGGCAACATGGACAGTGCATTCTCTGTTTTACTGCAGGCATTCTTAGCCTTATTTATTTATTTATGTATTTATTTTACTAAAGAGGTGGTTAGGCAGCCATGTGTCTGCAAAGGGAACCTTGTCAGCTTAATGCTAGATTTTCTTTTTTAATACTTGGTGTTTCAGAGGTACATTTTGTTAACGTGTTAGAGTAGCACATAGAC